GGTGGACTTCAACTCCCAGAATTCCCCAGCCAGCTTTGCTGGCTGGGGAATTCTGGGAGTTGAAGTCCACCAGGCTTAAAGTTACCAAGGTTGGAGACCCCTGCTCTACAGGCATATGAAGAGTGGGCATTCAAGAGTTCCTAGATATCTCTAATAATTCAGAGCAAGACAGGGGAAAAACAGATGAATTTCCTTGCACTTTCAAGCTACAATTCAAATTCTGATGCTCACTTTATGCAACCTCCTCCCCTTAAGTGAGGCTGGCTCCACCCCTATTGAACTTCCAGATGTCCCTCCACACTTGGTTGTGCCATCCTGCTCAGGAGATCCCAGGGGACCGATGAGATATTGTTAATAACACCTGCGCTTTGCCTGAAATTTGTTTTTTTTTAAATAATAACAATATTTAAATTATATTAATATTTAAATACAAATAAATTAATATTTGAATAATATTTAAGTTGTGACTTCTGGATTGATGGTAGACTCCATATCCCTGTTCTGTACCCCACCCATCATTTTGTTATCATTTTGGTGTATTTTTGGGGTGTTTTTTTTTTCATTGTTTATATTATTACTGTATGATTTTACTTCTGTTCTGGTTACATTCTTTTCATTTCTTCACTTTTATTGTTGTAAGAGGAGAGTAGCCCCACAGTGAGCTAGGTGGCAAACAAATTTAACAAAAATAAATCAAGAAATCAATTGCTTTTTGCCTTGATGTGTATGCTGACTTGATGTATGTGAGATGGGCAGTTATTCAAATTCAATGCATGAATGAATGAATGAATGAATGAATGAATGAATGAATGAATGAATGAACAATCCAGTATTGTTTGGCGCAGGGGTCGCCAACCTTTTGGACCTCAGGGACCACCAAACTCATAATTTTAAATCCCACGGACCACTAATATGAATTTTGACTTGATGGTGGCGTGCTGAGGTTGGTGGGAAAGTTGGTCCCATATTCCAGAGTCACAGGACTGGCCCTTTGGTCATTCCGGAGCAGCTCCTCTAGTCCATGGCAGGCCGGTGCACCCGGGTGGAGGAGCAGCTGCTCTGGGATAACCAAAGGGCCAGTCCTGTGACTACTGCAGCTCCGGAATATGGAACCGACTTTCCCACCAATGTCAGCAAGCCACCCTGGGGGCGGGTTTCCCTCCCCGGCCGTTGGTCTTACCTTCCAGTTCCAGCTTGTGTGGCTCCACTCAAGGTAAGGTTTGCGCTCGACTGAAGGGTGGGGGCCAGCGGGTGGGCGGGCCATGTGGGCGACGCAGCCTTGTGTTCCCGCGCAGCCTGGATTAATTGCTTTGGGGAGGGACCACCAAAATTTTCTCATGGACCACCAGTGGTCCCCGGCCCATCGGTTGGCGACCACTGGTTTGGTGGACACTTTGAGAATTGGGATAAAACTGAGATAGGTTTGCAGTTTTAGTCAGACTTCCTCTTCTTAAGATGTGTCTAAGCCAATTCTCCAGTCAACAGCAGTGTAAATTCAACCTTAATGACATTTGTTTGTTTTTTTCCTCCCGGCTTACGATTCTTGTTTCTCCTTGTAAATGTAAACCCGTATCGCCACTTAAAAAATCCATGGGGCATTGCTAAAGTTTAATGAACAGCAGTACTTATAAGGTTATAAGTAGCTGATTCACTGTTCTTGTCCTTAAACTTTGTCTTCTTAATGGGCCTCTTTAACAAAGTTTATTTAACAGCTGTTTCTTTTCCCCCAATAGTGGGAAAGGCGACTCTCCAGAAGCCCGGGCATTAGCCAAGCAAATAGCAACATCACTTCAGAATTTGCAGTCCAAAACCAACAAAGCTGTTGCCAACAGCAGACCCGTCAAGCCGGCTGTTCATTTGGAAGGCAAGATTGAGCAAGCTCAAAGATGGATAGACAACCCTAGCGTGGATGATCGAGGTGTAGGTAAGCTGTGTAAAAAAAAAAAATCACTTCCTAAGAAAGAATGAGCAACAAGGTCTTGATTCACAATCTGGTAACATTGGGGAAAAGTGGGGAGGGTGCGCGATGGCTCAGTGGTTAAAGATGCTGAGCTGGTCAGCTGGAAAGCTGGCAGTCCAGATTCGAGACCCAAGCACTGCATGACAGGGTGAGCTCCCTGTGCCTTGCTCCACCTCCTGCCCACCTAGCAGTTCGAAAGCATGCAAATGTGAGTAGATCAATAGGTACCACTTTGGTGGGAAAGTAACAGTGCCCGTCCGTCTCAATGTATAGATAGCAGTGATGGGTTTCCAAATGGTTTCCTACCAGTTCTATACACACTTTGTGCGCGCATGGAGGGCTCAAAAACCAACCTCTGTCAACGCTGGTAAGCTGAGCTGTTTTTTGTTTTAGCTCAGCTGAGGCGGGGCAATCTGCCCGGCCTCGCGAATCAGCTGAACTAAAAAACACAAGGGAATATAGGAGAGGTAACGGCGGGGGTGAGTAGGCAGGGCCAACCAGAGGTAGTATTTGCTGGTTCTCCGAACTAGTGAAAATTTCCGCTATCGGTATGTCAGAACCGGTCCGAACCGGCTGAAATACCACCTCCGATAGAGAGCCAAGCTGGCCACATGATCACGGAAGCGTCTTTGGACAATGCTGGCTCTCTCAGCCAAGAAAGGGAGATGAGCAGCGCCCCCTAGAGTCGGACACGCCTGGAGACGGGAAACCTTTACCTTTTAACATTGGAAGAGGGGGGTCTTTCTTGCAATGGCCTACCTTTACAGTTCTTGATTTTACTCCACCCCTAATTTTCCCTTTTGCACAGCTTTTTTCTCTTACCTTATCCGTGAACCAAGAACACAGCTGACAGAAAGGTGAATTGTTTTTTGTTTTTTTTCATGCAGGCCAGGCTGCCCTCCGGGGACTGGTGGCCGAAGGGCGCCGCCTTGCCAACGTCATGATGGGGCCCTACCGCCAGGACTTGCTCGCCAAGTGTGACCGGGTGGAGCAGCTCACTGCCCAGCTGGCTGATTTGGCTGCAAGAGGGGAAGGGGACTCACCACAAGCCAGAGCCGTGGCTCTTCAGCTGCAGGAATCGCTGAAGGTAAAGAGGAGGAGGGGGTTAGAAGCCAATTTTTTTTTTTAGCGAGGGGCTCTCTGCCCTCATGACGGGCTGGGTGGTCGTGTGTCTGGGTGGGTGTGGCCAACTCGACGGCGCTTCGTCGCCCTAATTACCTAAAAAAAAAAAAAAGATAATATACTGAAAAGTTGTGTATTATTTTGTGCATTTGATACTTAAATAAAAGACTGGGTGAAACCAGGCTTAATACCCTGTTTCTCCAACAATACGGCCTCCCCCAATAGGAAGTCCCAGCATGTTTTATAGGCATGAAATGAAATTAAGCCCCTCCCCCCCAAATTAAGGCCTATATTAAAACATGCGAAATGGGGGGGAATGGTGGGGGGGCTTGCCGTTAGGAAGTACTTTTGTTGAACACCCGGATATGGTGCTGCCTGCGTTGACCCCCATACGAGGTGCCCCACCAACGCCGAGGTCAACATCCAAGCTGTCGCTGCCTGCCCAAAGGGAGGGGGAAATTAAGTCACCCCTGAAAAGACAGCCTAGCCATTTTTTCGGGGCTCAAAAAAAAAAATAAGACCCGGCCTTATTATATGAGAAACACGGTAGCAGCGCCTGTGAGAGGGATCTTGGAGTCTTAGTGGAGTTTCTGGTGAGCTACATGATTATTATTATTTGGGAATTAATCCCCCTCGGAGGCTGGTGGCTATGTTGTCTGATGTTCTCAATGGATCTCCTTTGCAAGCGCTTGTGGATTGTTTATCTAGAGTAGGTTCACCCCCTCTTCTTTGCAGCAGCCCCTTAAATATTGGAACACTGCTACCATGTCACCCCCTAGTCCTCCTTTTCATTAGATGCACCTCTCAGTGTGAAATGTCTTGATTCTTGTTAAGGATCTTAAATCGAGGATGCAAGAAGCGATGACCCAGGAAGTATCGGAAGTGTTCAGTGATACCACCACCCCAATCAAGCTGTTGGCAGTAGCAGCCACTGCTCCTCCAGATGCCCCCAACAGGGATGAGGTGAGTGGCCAGCCGAAATTTTAATTTCCGCCCTTCCAACCTGTTCCGCTCTAAAGTGGTATAACTATAGTTGTTTGAAAGATGCCAGCCTTTGAGGATTCTATATCAATGAACTAATGGGACTCGTTTCCCCCCAAATAATACTTCGTTTCTGAGTCCAACATTTTATTTTATTTCTTAAATTAAAGTCAACTTTTGTAAACTTGGTCATACGTAATTTAATTGGACAGGACAAAATCGGCGGCCTTCAAAGTTAGGTTTGTATCAGGCACAAGTAGTTAGAAGGCGGGTTCAAATGAATGCAGGTTTAAGACTTTCTAGAAGAATCTGAACCATTAATCACCATCCTCTTCTTTTAACGACCCCATAATCCCTTGTGGGGTGAAGTCTGGGCAACTGAATGGAGCCGAGTGTTTCCTGGCCGGATGCCCTTCCTGTCACCAATGCGGAGTGTTGTTCAGCAGATATATTCTCATTGTGCCCAGACAGAGAGAGAAATATCTGCCTCTACTAGTGGTGGTATTAGACCAGTTCTCCCCTTTATCCTCTGAATTTGAAGCGCAGTTGCTTTGCGCGGTGCAGAAGCATGCAGCTGCTGAAGTGACCGGGATCGTGCAGGCTTGCAGGAGGCGAGTTAGAATGCCTCTGCATCTGTGCAAAGTGCAGGTTTGGTGCATGCGTGCGTGCATGCAAAGTGTGCCCACCAACCCCACGCCCACCGAACCGGTGGCAGAAATATTTGAATCCCACCACTGGTCTCCACCTCGGATTGAATGCACAGGACCCTGATGGTGAGGCGAGAGCTCCACCTTTAGGCCACCGCACCACCAATCCGAACTACTAATGATCAAAGCAAATTGGTGGTAGTTAAGAGTCAAAGGAATGCAAGGCGGGCTGTACTTCGATCCCTCATAGGTGCAAAAGGACTCAAAACTGATGACATACTTGACCTGTCTCTCGTTGCTCAGTCTGGTCGGATCCTACAGTTTGAGAACTAAGCAATGTATTTTATTTACCCAGTTCTCTGCACCCCTAAATCTAGGGTCAAAGCTCTCCATATTTCCATTTGTCTTCCATGTTATGCTCAACTTTCAGTTTCCAAATAGCCCTCAACTCTCTCATACACTGACAGGACGCTAGCCAGATGAATACCGATGGATGCTGGTAGACAGAGGCAGATTTTTTTTTCTTCCTTATTTTCCTCCCCCAAAACTAAGCCCAGCCACCTAGTTTTGTAGCGAAGCACACTGTAAGTCTCGAGCTATAATCATTAAAAGCACTAAAAATATGAATGAGTTCAATACGAAAAAATGGAATTGTACTGTATTGTAGCATTAATAGAGCTTTTAATCTATCTGTATTATAGCATTAGTAAACGGGATAATTTTTGTTACGGTATTTGCTAAGTTTTTTTTTTTTTTTTTTTTGGTAAATATTATACCCGGACAAAACGTTGTATGAATAAAATCTATTATTTTTTTTTAAAAAAAGGAAGAACTGAGGTCAAGTGGGCTGGTGCAATTTGGTCCTGGATCAGTTTAAACTCTTGAGCCTCTTCCGGTTTGTGAAAAGGTGGGGGGGCACTTCACCTTTCAGGTCTTTGAAGAAAGGGCAGCCAACTTTGAGAACCACGCAGCGAGGCTGGGGGCGACGGCGGAAAAGGCGGCAGCCGTTGGGACAGCCAACAAAAGTACCGTGGAGGGCATCCAAGCGACTGTGAAATCAGCAAGAGAACTGACACCTCAGGTGGGCCCTCTCTCTCTCTCTCTTTGACTCTTTCTTTCTTTCTTTCTTTCTTTCTTTCTTTCTTTCTTTCTTTCT